TTTTTTTTAATGGATGGGCGCTTTTTATTTAACTTCTTTTGGACTGATGCATGAAACACCCGCTGAGTGGCATTAAACAGCTTGAAAGATCAAAGACAATTTTTAATATAACTCCGACTGGATTCGTCTGAAAGAAGAAAGTCATATACACCTAGGATGACTTCAGGGTGAGTAATTTATGGGCTAATTTTCATTTTTGGGTGAACTAACCCTTTAAAGCTTCTCTTTTGTTGACAACAGCTGGTTTATAAGTGATTTTCATTACACATTTGGGAAGATGGTTGGTGCATATTTTGTTCCCAATTGCATGTTACAAGCGACTCAAAGTCAGGACAGATAAAGGGATCACACTAAGCCAAATTGTGTTCTCATTTTATTTCGATTAATCCTTCTTTTCTTAATTCCGAGCCTAAAAACAAACATCACTGACCAGTTACAGTTGAAATGTTTTCAAAATGCTCTTAGATAGAGAACACTTACCTGTCCCTTGTGTCTTAATCATGCCGGTTGCCATGGTTACTGTTGTACTTTTCGTCCGCGGTGCGGTCACGCCCACCTGTGCGCTCATGCCCCTCCTCCAGGAGCCCGTCTGAGTGATGGGTGCTGTTTTCCGTCCAGAGCTGCTCTTATCAGACTCCTCCGAAGCATCTGAAGCGTTCCGCCGCCACTTCAGACCTGCTTCCATTTTGATGCCGCAATCCAAACCCCCGTCTGTCTTCTTAACTTCATCACTGGACCAAGCAGTGTTGTGTTCGGCTGCTGAATGCTTCTCTGCATCTGTCTGAGGCTGCAGAAAACAATACAAACTTGGAAATCAACATTATGAATGTAACAATTTTAGCAAGTACAAATATTCCTTAATTCATAGGAATTAGGCACCAAATTTTAGAATTGTGTTATAGCCATATTAGCAAGTATTCACATATTTTCCACAGTGATGTGATATAGAAATACTACAGATGGATCGATGGATAAACCTTTATTGGTATTAAGGTGACTTAGGAATTAGGCTTCAATTTTTAGAATTATCAGTTATCAATATATTTTCTTATAATTACCTGTTTAATTCTATATAAAAATTTATTAAAAATTAACACCTCAACCATGAAACAACAAATGTGTCACAACTTCCACACACAGCACAGGGCAGAAGATTTGGTGGTTTTAGAGTTTGCAGTTTTTTTTCCCCACCCACACTTACCAAACTTACCATATCAATATAATTAGAAATTACAGTCCAGAGGAATGTTTTTCGTGATGTGGCATGTCAATTGCTTTGGCTTAAATATTGACTCAAGTTTCTATGGAATCAACAGGACCTATTTAGCACTTTATGAGGGTCTCAAGCAGGGGAATGTGAGAGTTGGGTTCAAGTAAACAGAAAGTTAGTTAGTAGAACGTCTAAAGTGGAGTATTGGAATAAAGTGTAACCAGAAATTCACACAAGTTTAGTATGTTAGGATGCTTATGAGCTCCAAATATCAGGTTTTACACAAAGGTTCATATTGAATCAGAGTGTTCATAAATAAATGCGTATCAGTGTGTGTGTGTGTGTGTGTGTGTGTGTGTGTGTGTGTGTGCAAATGTGCGCGGGTCATACCTGTCCGTTCAGGGCCTTACGGGACGCGGCGGGTGTGTTGGCGTAAGAGCTTATGGAGGAGCTGGTGTTGATGTCATCAGTATCAATAGCATCACTGATCCCACTGCTGACGGAACTACTGTCATCCCAACTGCAAAAAAAAAAAAAGTTTAGACATTATCTGAGACTCTGTTTTCAAATATATGAACGGTATGGAACTTGTTATTAAGTTCTAAGTAGAAACATTATATAGAAATACATCTTTGGACTGAAAAAAAAAAGCATTAGCAGTTATTATTTAGTGATTTTTGACCACATCACAGGTCTATGAAGCCCACACATGATAGGCTTTTAATGCTGTACATTTACTGTACAGTTTTGGATCTGCTCAGGGTCATAGTGGCTAACCAGAGTAACTGATCACTGTGTTAAACACCATCCTCTCGCTCCCGGGTGGCCACCATCATTCAGACCGTACTATGACAACAAAAGAAAACACAAACAAACACACACACCAACTCAAACACACCAGCCACACAACGGTACAAGTGACCTATGTGACCTTTAACCCCCATCTGTCACAGAGGACAGAGAAGACATCTATCTATCTATCTATCTATCTATCTATCTATCTATCTATCTATCTATCTATCTATCTATCTATCTATCTATCTATCTATCTATCTATCTATCTATCTATCTATCTATCTATCTATCTATCTATCTGTCTGTCTGTCTCTGTCTGTCTGTCCGTCCATCCTTTTTGTCTATTGATACATTTATCATATATCCGTCTATCTGTCTATCCATTTATCTGTCATTCTATACATGCCCATCCATCCATCCATCAATCCGTCCGTCTCTTGATACATTTATCTGTCTGTTGATACATTTATCATTTATGTCTATCCATCTACCTATCCATTTATCCATCTAGCGATCAATGTCATATATCTATCCATCTATCCATTCATCCATCCATCCATCCACCCATCTGTCCATCCATCCTTTCATCCCTCCATCCCATCCATATACTGTATCTTTCCATCAATCCATCAATTACCCATCCATCCACCCACACATCCATCCATCATTTCATCCCTCCATCCATATATCTATCCATCAATCCATCATTCACCCACCCATCCAGGTTACTAGGAAGCTACAGGCAGGTGAGTTTAATTAGGGTTAGAGCTGAACTCTGCAGGGCTGCGGCTCTCCAGGAGCGGAGTTCGCCACCCCTGATCTAGTATATTAGTCTAAAGAGTGCATGAATGTGCAACAACACACTTTCTTTTGCTTTCCTGTTCTCTTAGTTGCACAGATGTTGACTCCTCAGCCTCAGCATTCAGTATAAATGATCATGTAAACTTTCTCTAGTAGAAGACAAAAATGTAAAGTCTAAGGACAAGGCACTGATTTCTCCATAAATCCCATATAGACTGGCTTTGAGTGTTTAAAAAAATCCATTCAACCACAATCTGCCTGGACTAAGTCTTAACAGATGCCCACACACTATCCTATAAACCTGAAAGGATCGAACTACAAATCTATAACACGCTTTGCTTGGCTAACACACAGACAGAAGGATTTGTAAATCAGGTATTAATGAAAAAAAACCCACACATTAACATCCACTAACACATTATTTTTCCAAGAAATCTCACACATAATACATTTATAACTCACTCTACCTGACTCGATGTCCGTGACTGCCATGGATGCCAGTAACCGGGGTGGGAATAATGAGATTGATTTGAGGGAAAAGATGCCTCATGATCTTAAATGCTCAAAATGTAAACTAAAAAAAGTTCCTTCTCGTTGTATTTATTCCTCACTCCTTCCTTAACTTGCACGACAATCCATGTATTCCCTCAAACCTCTGCCTCCTGTCACTCTCTCTCTGTCTGTGTTTCTCTCTGGTAATCTGATCCTTGAGAGTGACGTTTTAACCCTGCAGATCGCTGGAGTCGCCATAGACCAAGAAGCCAGAGAAACGTTCACTCACATTCACACACATCAACACACAGACAAACAGAGCTGAGGAGGACAAAGAGAGAGTGATAATGGAGGTCAAAAGACAAAAAAACAGCACAGATTTATACAAACACACACTCTTTCTCTCTTTCACACACACATGCACATGCAGGAACCACCCTACTGGGTCTAGGATGCTAATTAGAGATCAGCGTTTTGAGTGTAGCTTGAATGAGGGCTTCTCTCTGGCTCGCTACCCTGCCATTACTGTCTCCAGTGGACCAGCAAGCTAACCAGTCGGCCTGCTTTAAACAGCACCTCCGCAATGGCCCACCGCAGCCTGTGCTTCTCCCTGAGAGCCGAATCCTCCACAAAAACCTGCAGGGGTGACGTCAGTTACTTCAGCACGCACACAGATCTATGACCATTGTCTTTCATTTAAACAGACATAATGGTTATTAAGGAAACTGTATAACTAAGAAGTAGATGTTTCCCCCTGCATTGCATGTTCGTTTATTAAATAATTTAGCCAATTTGATAATGCTTTCAGCTACCAATAAGAGTGTGAACACCTTTTCCCATATTTAAATTCATTCTGTAAAAATACACAGATTTCCCCAGAAAATCCTGCATGTTCTGTCTGGGCCTAGTATATAATATCATACATATAATATAGTGATCCTCTTGTTCTAAAATATGACTGTATATGTTTATAGTATAAAGTTTTTATATTCTATAGTATAAAGAATTTACAATATATAGAGTATAGAATTTAGTATATATAGATTATAGAATTATTTATTTTATATACTATACATATAGTATAAAGAATTTATAATGTGAAAATTTAAAGGGGTCATATGATGCTGCTAAAAAGAACATTATTTTGTGTATTTGGTGTAATGAAATGTAAATATGTAAAATATTTTAAAAATCAGCAAATATACATACATTATTTTATACATTAAATCTGTCTTTTCTATTAAACAGTAGTGTACTGTTAGATATATAAACACAAAACTGACTGTCAAAATAAAAATGATAAAAAATAACTGTAATTAACCTCATAATTTATTTAACTAGTATTTAAAATGAAACTATTTAAATTTAAACACATTATTATGATTATTAGTATCATTATCATTAAAAACATTTTAAACCATTACATTTTTCCCACAGACTTCCTATTATTTGGAATATATAAGTAACAGAGTATTGTTGCATATTTAAACATAACAATAAAATAAAATAATTGTAATTTATTTCTTCATTTCCAACTAGTTTTTAGAATTAATCAAATAATGTTAAATTTGGTCAATTTTAACTTTATGATTTCATTATTATTATTATTATTATTTAAATATATATATTTTCAGTCTGGTTTCCTTTAATTTTTCCATTAATCCCCTAGCACCCTTTTAATGTTTTATATCATGTGACATGATGCATTTTTCAATCATTCCTCCTTATATATATAAAAACAATATCTGACAGATCAGGAGACTAGCACAAATGGCTAGCACCAGAAAAAGCAAAAGCAAAAACAAAAACAAAACAAATCAAGATGAGGAACATTAGACATTTATATTCTGTGCTTGCTCAAAATGTGGAGCTAAATCTTGCAGCTTTTAACCACCTCTCAAATCCCCCCTCTCACAATCTGGTATCAATGCAATAAACCTTAGCACAGGGAAGGCGGGAGTTGGGGTTAAACAAGGTGAGTGTGTGTGTGTGTGTGTGTGGAGTATAGGTTAACTGGCAGGCTTTTATGAAGACCGTTACGTTCCCAACAGTTTGGGGCATTCCAGACCTTTCCATGCTCAGCTCTGCGGTAGAAGAATGACAAAGCTCTCTCTGACCACAAAACAATGAGAGATCAACAGGCTTTTTATTCTTTCGTCTGTGGTTACCATTTTTCCCCTTTCTTACATGCACTATTTAACCAATTTGCTTCATCAAGGTCTCTTTTGCCATCAGACTTTGGTTTAGAGTTGGTCCGATTCAGTTGAAGAAATCAGTTCAAATGGACAGTCTGTTTGAACTGATTCAGTGACTTGAAAATCTTCCTCTCAAATCTCATTTATGTTCTCCTACACACAAACACGGCACCTCAAGAAGTGTTGTGCCAGGTTTGTCATCAATGGCATTAAACATAATTGGTCTTCATGTCTCATCATTGACATTACACTTGGTACGACATGTCAAAGCTACAGAAGACTTGGAATATAGACTGTGAACTATATTTTTGGTGCTTTTATATCCTTTTTCATTCAATTTCACAGTATGGAAAGGAATGAGTAGGACATCAGAAGACCATAGAAGAGAAAACAAGCTGGAATTGACAAGATGAGTGAGAGGACAAGCTGTAAAAATGAATGTATTTGTGTGAATAAATGTATGTAAATTAATTAATTTAAAAAATGTAAATGTAAAATCATATTTAGATCAAATTTATATTTTTTATTTCATTTTTTAATGATTTTCTTGCTCTAGCTAACACTACATCAAGTCCACATAAACACATATGTATTGAATTTAGCACCTAGATTGGACATACAGCCCCATCCCCCCACCACACACACACGCACACACACGCACACACACACACACGCACACGCACACGCACACACACACACACACACATCAACAGAGTCTGTCATCTGCCCGACTTTCCTTAGCAACAGAGCTTTCATCATGGTCTGAAAGAATCGCGTATGTGAGATGGCCAGCATTTCTCTGTCTCTGGTCATAAGGTCTGCCTGCTTTAAATGCTTAAACATGATCATCATGCTGATCCAGTTACCTGTAATGTGTGTGTGTAATCACACTTAAAATGTGCAGACTCTGAGGGTTTAAGGCATATAAACACAGCGACATGCACACATGAAACACTACTGCGATGAAGATCCAATAACTGGAGTTTATATTACGCTGTATCAATTTACACTGAGAAGAGCAGAGGCCGATCCATCTGTTAAATCTATCTCATACAATCTCTACATCAGCATATATGTAGACAGAATGGTGACGTGTTCTCTGTATTTTACAACCAGCTCTATTTCTTTTTACTATTTCTAAAAATAACCAATAACAAGCAAACAAACCCTGATATATTCAGTTTGAGTATTAAATAAAAGTCTAAAGTCCACCTACCCGACACTCATCACTTTCACT